GTGGGGTGAAAGAAAATTCATTATAACCTTGCAGCCTAAAAAGTGAAAAGAATGGTTTTATTGCAAATCTGTTTGAACCCAGAAGCCATACAATCACTTTCGATGGACCATCAATAAGAAAAAACTCTTATCGTCAAACTTGAAGCAGTTTTTGCCCCATAATGTGATCGCTTGAGCTGTAGAATCTGCATTTTCACAAAACTTGGATAATATCAACTTTGAAGCGCCTTTCGTGCCATTGACGCAATTCACAAAGGTGGAAAATTGTAATTCGATAGCTTGCATGCCGTTTGTCGGTTTTTTTTGTCATGCAATTGATTATCCGGTGAAATGGACGACATGTATTGTTTGATTGTACAGCTTCTGTCGCAATGATGATCACTGGTGGACATCAACGAGCCCATCTCGCCAATTCTCGCCCATTCTCCCTACTTTTGTTTTTAGGGGTTTTGAGAGAAGGTGTTTCTCTTTTCATGCTTTTATATGTACTTATGCTTACTCATATATAAAGTTAGTGACTAACTAATCAATTTTGCTTACATCCAATTTTGATATTTGATGTTTGCTCATGCCATCTTCACCCATTCATATCATCTATTTTAGGACTAGGAGACGCGAGACCGCATTGCGGACATTGTCTTAACATGTTTCAGTTGGTTCTTCCCTGTTTCCAAAAAGCGAATAAACGTGGGCGAGGTAAATGACAAGTATAAACCTGCTAAGTACAAGATTAAGCTTGTCTAGACAATGTGTGCAAAGCGGTCTCGCGTCTCCTAGTCCTAGAATGAATGATAATTAATTCAATAAAAATATCGATACCTGCTCTTCTATAATACCTCCATAACATTATTGATTCATCAAACCACATTTCATTTATTCATTCATTCGGTCATTCGCCATTCATTCATTCATTCATCAAACCTTTGCTTTGTGAAACTTGCAGATGTATAGTTCCATGACATTTTGTCAATTTACGATTTCTACACTTTGTTTCGGCACTGACCATGCAAAAAAATCAATTCTGGTATCTTCCCAACGTTAAGAAAATTTCCTTTCCAACAGCATTCCTGAACACAAATTTTTGGTTACCGGAGTGCAGCAGACTGAAACTTTTATATGCCCTAAAATTTGTTACACCATCCTGATGCGGCTTTAAGTTTGACAAGTCTTGC